GTCCTCCATAAGGTAAATATTCCCATGCGTATCTTACGTGGAAGAATATTTCGAGAGAATATTATTGGGGTGCGTATCTTGCAGGGAATATATTTTTTTGAGGAACATATTTTCTATGCCCTAATATTCCCGTACAAATCTTCCGTAGTCGTAGTGAAGGAAAATATTCCGTTGAGAACCTTCTAGTTCTCTTGAGGGGTATATTCCGAGTGAATATTTTGGTGCCAATCTTCCATGGGCAACATTTTTCGGGGACGAATAATCTGAGGACCAATTCGTTAAAATATTCCGTCAGCGGCGCTCAAATATTCTGGGTTGGATATTCCTTCAGGAGTATATTCCAGAGTTCAGGGTTCATAAGGCAATTTTTCGAGGCCAGTCTTTCGGAGAGTGAGCATTCTTGGGGTGTGAATCTTACGGGAATTTTTGGGAAGTACATTCGGGATAAGACGAAAATTCTGTGAGCTCGACTTCTGTTATTTTGGTTTCATGCCAGTCTTTGCAACTTGTTTGGTATTCTTCAGGGCGGCTTTTTGAAATACAATTTTCAAACAAATCAAATCGATCCGCCATAAGAAGACGTGAGCTGATAAAAGCACAAACACGACGTCGAATTTTGAGGCAAAAGTAGGAAATCCCTACACGAAAAGGATTTCGGATCTCTCGGCGAACTGAATAAAAAGTTATAATAAAAGTTTCGCAGTCGAACGGGGCCACTTTCGGCCCCGTCCGAAATATCACCGCCCTATTAATCACGCTGGGCGTTTACACCCAAATTGTATCAATTACGCGAAACGTCGTCGTCGGGCCGAAGTTTCAAGACGTCTAAAATATTACTGCGGATGACCGATAAAAGTTATTTACTGCAAATTTGATGCATTAATAATGCAACGGGGACGCTGCCAACTGAGTAACTTCATTTATTCATAGACTAATGGAACAGACTGTGCGCGCCTCCCGACGAAAAATTTTTCAGGTCAAAGAGTTGCAGTCTTTCAAGCCCGAATGTAAAACTTTGAGAGCATTAATAATTATGTTACCGCTTGTAAACTCGCTTCAATAAAATGCTTAGTTGGAACAGGGGAAAAAACGGAAAAAGAGGGCGCGCGCGACAATAAAATGAAAAGAAACTTTGTATGCGCAAAGTTTGTATCTCTCCACCGGGAGGCGAAAGAAAGATTACGATTGATAAATGTGTAAATATGCAAATCCATTTTGCAGGTGGGTTAATTCGTTTCATTTGCATACATTCCGCCGAGGGCGCCCCCTTCAAATTCGTTTACAAGTTTTAATGCCCGGACCCGTTGTTAACTACAACTTTGTGCAAATCGCGCCCCGGCAGATAGAGGCAAAAACTGAATATCGGTTTTCGTTCCGTCAACAAAACGGCATCTCGATCCACCTTTCCATTATCTCGGAGATCAACCGGAAGCTTCGGAAAACCGCCACACATCTCGTGTGATTTATACACACCGTCTTAGATAGACAAAATCTACATTTTAATGCGTTTCTTGCGCCCACCTGACAAGTTACGTACGCCGCCGTCCGGCTCGAAGTCTTTGGAAAAACGTGAGATCATTTTTCACACCTTGGAAAAAATCCGGACGGGTTTAAGCGGAAAACAGCATGTGTCTGTAATGTAAATTTGCCCTTAGTTTGTTGGCCGCTTGACACACCATCCATCTATGAATGTAGCTACAAACGCAGACTTTTTTTTAAGTTGCATATAAAATAGGTTCTTCTGTACAAAATGGCTTTTAACGCGTGGTCATTTAAAAAATCATAGGTTAAACAGATTTTGAAAAGTTTTAAGAGAAAGATTCAGGATGATCACTTTGTGAAAGCTGAAATGTTTATGTACTTATTTTATTTGCAAATCCCATATTCTGCTCCTGTCCGGAGCTTGGAAAACAAACTTTCTTGCTTTCTAAAAATTTTGACAAGGGAACTGTTAGAATAAGGTTTCTTAGAGGGCTTTGTACTAGCAGAGTTTCAGCGAACATACTAAAGTTGTAAGGTTTTGGATGAAAATGAGATTTTGTAACATATCCATTGATCGAAGCAGCAGACCTCTCCATGGTTCATTTTCTCCTGGCAGTCAGATAACCTTTCCAACATTCCGCGTATTTTGCTTCTCGATCCGAAAGTTGAAAAAGCGAAATAAAACAATGAAACATTTCTCTTTGTCATTCAGAAATGCTTACTTATCGAATATGTTCTCCTGGTAGTCAGAAAACTTTTCGAACAGTCTTCGTATATTTTTCTTTCCTGATCCGAAAGTTGGAAAAGCGAAATATAGCAATGAAACATTACTCTTTATCATTCAGAAATGCTTACTCATCGAGTATGTTCTCCTGGTAGCCAGAAAACTTTTCGCACATTCCTCGTACATTCTTCTTTCCTGATCCGATAGTTGGAAAAATGATATAAAACAATGAAACATTTCTCTTTATCATTCAGAAATTCTTACTCATCGAGTATGTTCTCCTGGTAGCCAGAAAACTTTTCGCACATTCCTCGTACATTCTTCTTTCTTCATCCGTAAGTTGGAAAAGCGAAATAAAATAATGAAACATTTCCTTTTATCATTCTGAAATGCTTGCTCATCGAATATGTTCTCCTGGTAGCCAGAAAACTTTTCGAACATTCTTCGTACACTTTTCTTTCCTGATCCAAAAGTTGGAAAAGCGAAATAAAACAACGAAACATTTCTCTTTATCATTCAGAAATGCTTACTCATCTAATATGTTTTCCTGGTAGCCAGAAAACTTTTCGAACGTTCCTAGTACATCCTTCTTTCTGATCCGAAAGTTGGAAAAGCGAAATAAAACAATGAAACATTTCGCTTTATCATTCGGAAATGCTTGCTCAGCGAATATGCTCTCCTGGTAGCCAGAAAACTTTTCGAACGTTCCTCGTACATTCTTCTTTCCTGATCCGAAAGTTGGAAAAGCAAAATAAATCAATGAAATAGATCTCTTAATCATTCAAAAATGCTTGCTCATCGAATATGTTCTCCTGCTAGCCAGAAAACTTTCAGACGTTCCTCGTACATTCTTCTTTCATGATCCGAAAGTTGGACATGCGAAATAAAACAATGTAGCATTTCTCTTTGTCATTTAGAAATGCTTACTCATCGAATATGTTCTCCTGGTAGCCAGAAAACTTTTCGAACGTTCCTAGTACATCCTTCTTTCTGATCCGAAAGTTGGAAAAGCGAAATAAAACAATGAAACATTTCTCTTTATCATTCGGAAATGCTTGCTCAGCGAATATGCTCTCCTGGTAGCCAGAAAACTTTTCGAACGTTCCTCGTACATTCTTCTTTCCTGATCCGATAGTTGGAAAAGCGAAATAAAACAATGAAACATTTCTCTTTAGCATTCGGAAATGCTTGCTCAGCGAATATGCTCTCCTGGTAGCCAGAAAACTTTTCGAACGTTCCTCGTACATTCTTCTTTCCTGATCCGAAAGTTGGAAAAGCGAAATAAAACAATGAAACATTTTTCTTTATCATTCAGAAATGCTTGCTCATATAATATGTTCTCCTGGTAGACAGAAAACTTTTCGAACATTCCTCGTACAATAAATCAATGAAATAGATCTCTTAATCATTCAAAAATGCTTGCTCATCGAATATGTTCTCCTGCTAGCCAGAAAACTTTCAGACGTTCCTCGTACATTCTTCTTTCCTGATCCGATAGTTGGAAAAGCGAAATAAAACAATGAAACATTTCTCTTTAGCATTCGGAAATGCTTGCTCAGCGAATATGCTCTCCTGGTAGCCAGAAAACTTTTCGAACGTTCCTCGTACATTCTTCTTTCCTGATCCGAAAGTTGGAAAAGCGAAATAAAACAATGAAACATTTTTCTTTATCATTCAGAAATGCTTGCTCATATAATATGTTCTCCTGGTAGACAGAAAACTTTTCGAACATTCCTCGTACATTCTTCTTTCCTGATCCGAAAGTTGGAAAAGCAAAATAAATCAATGAAACATTTCTCTTTATCATTCAGAAATGCTTGCTCATCGAATATGTTCTCCTGGTAGCCAGAAAACTTTTCGAACGTTCCTCGTACATTCCTCGTACCACCTACAATCACATCCAGTGGAAAAAAAGCAGGATCTAAAAACCCAATTGGCTATCCTAGTAAAAAGAGACTATTCGAACTGGCCCGACTAACTTTCACCGTTCAGTTTCCCTTACCACGGGATTTACCCTTCCAAGGTATTCCTTGAATCTTCTCTTAAGCCTCAAAAATTGTAGATCTTCATCAAATTTGAATATCTCCAAAAAGCTTCGTTAATATCCTAATGCCCCATTTAACAGTCAGGAAATTGTCTCCTAACTTTTCGAATAAGTGGTGCAAAAAGGGGGTCGCTTTAGGGTTAAAAAAGCATTTTCTTGAGCATAGGAAAGTTTACACATGCACCGCTGCATAAGGAACGTGAACAAGGGTATGTTTAGCGATAAGATGATTTTTGCGAACCATCGCGTAAAGTTACGTGCGCTAAAATTGAATTATTGAACTATTGAACTATTGCACTATTGAACTATTGAACTATTGAACTATTGAACTATTGAACTATTGAACTATTGAACTATTGAACTATTGAACTATTGAACTATTGAACTATTGAACTATTGAACTATTGAACTATTGAACTATTGAACTATTGAACTATTGAACTATTGAATTATTGAATTATTGAGTTATTGAATTATTGAACTATTGAATTATCCTTTTTTTTTGAAAAATGATTTAAGATTCACCACGAATAATGCTTTTGCGCGAGTTCATATAGTCGCTGGTAAGTGTAACTAGTTCCGTTTTGAGCTAGTACCTAAGTCAAACACAAAATCCGTATTAAAAAAAGGTGTAGGATATAAGTGGCGCGGTTCTACCAACAGTCGCGTCAGTAGAACCGGGACACTTATCTCCTCCACTCGCCGGTTAATGTTTTCCGTTCCGATATTAATTAGAGGTGTTTGTTGCAGAGCACCGGGGACGACATGCAAACCTCGTGATCCAAATGATACGCCAGTGATCGTCGGATAAGGGAAGCACAAGATGGCGAAAGACACCGGCCCCTATCACTACGACTCATATCCGATCGTCAGCAAACAAAACAACGTAATCATATCAGGCACGCTGAAACGCGACAAAAAAACGAGCAAAGCCGACGAGGTGACCACGTGCAAATGTTTCGGCGCGAAAAAGTCGAAACGCAAAGCGTTCGTGACGGGTCTGGTTACCAATCTGGGCATCTGCATTCTGCTGTTCGGTTACACGCTGATCGGCTCGATTGTGTTTCTAACGATCGAGGGAGGGGAGAACCTGCAGCAGCAGACCTTAGCGACCACCTCCAACGTGAACAAGCATCGGAGGATTTTTAATAACAGTTCGGAAATTAAGGCGAGAACGGACGAGGCGCGCGCGCGAACCGTGGAGACGATCTGGGACATAACCGTAAACCTTAATATTCTATACAGAGACAATTGGACAAAGTTAGCATCTCAGGAAATAACAAAGTTTCAAAAAGAAATAATAAAATCACTCGAAGAGGAATTGTCCCAGAGCTACGTGATTCCCGAAAGGAAGGCGACTATTAAGTATCCGCAGGAGTTCCAGTGGACGTTTGCCAAGGCGTTCCTGTATTCCCTCACCGTTCTGACAACAATAGGTAAGTCCAAGTGCGCACGTTACAAATTAGACAATTGTCGAAATTAATTACAGGTAGATTACAGGGGATAATTCGGGATTACTCAAAAACTATACGACGCCCGACGTCGGTTGTTGTTTTAGTCACTGCCGGAATTCATTTGCAGGTGCTTAACCCTTTTACATTTACCCCCTCACGAAAACGTAATCGCCGGATTATTACGATTATCTTTCTGTCCCTCCGCCTTTCGTGTACCGCGAATAGGTACGTCGTGCGGTCCACCTTTTTTTTTGATCCGCGAAAACCGACGACTTCGGTAGTTTTACCTCGGCCGGAAGTTTAAATTGTAGCCGTTTCCGTCTTTCGCCCTAATCGCGTGTATATGTAAATGGGGCTTTACTCGTAAGTCTAACGTATATCGGGTTTGCGAAAATCCTCTGAAAGCTCCCGCATAAATTTCGGTAAAAACGAACGACTAATCCATTCTTGTATTTAATTTTGAGGTTAGAATAAAGTTGTAATGTTTTTCTATTCGATTATTTCCCATTTTAAACGAATTAAGCCACGGGATCGAGGGATGTAGAATGTAGGATTCCAGAAGTTTATGATAGAGTGGTAGTGGTGGGTTGTTTATTGTAGATGCATTTATCCAATACAATTAATAAAAGGCAATTCTCTCGGGGAAGAACTGATTAGAGCCGTGCATTACGAACGGAGAGAGCCCGGGTTCGTTCCCCGGTCCTTCAAATCATTTTTGGTGTTCACTTTTCCGTAAGGTCAATTCAGCCTTTCAAAGTGACCGCATACCATTGCCCACAGCATTATTTATTTGGCGACCAACGTGGGGCTACTGCAATATTTACTTGGCGCCCAACTTGGAGCCACTGCATTATTTATTTGGCGCCCGACGCGGGGTTAAGAAATCCAAGGATCAGGGCTCTAATGATGCAAAGATCTTGAAGGTCTTGAAGGTCTTGAAGGTCTTGAAGGTCTTGAAGGTCTTGAAGGTCTTGAAGGTCTTGAAGGTCTTGAAGGTCTTGAAGGTCTTGAAGATCTTGAAGGTCTTGAAGGTCTTGAAGGTCTTGAAGGTCTTGAAGGCCTTGAAGGTCTTGAAGGTCTCGAAGGTTGTGAAGGTCTTGGATCTTGGATCGGTCGCCATTTTATTAGTCTCTAAATCCGCTATTTTATTAGTCTCTAATTCGGCCATTCTGTTGGTTTCCATCTTGGATCGGTCGCCATTTTATTAGCCCGCCTCTGATTGACTGTGATGACACGTGCTCGTCTCTGATTGGTATGACGTCACTTCCTGGTCCAGAACATACATAGGTCTTCTACTGAACTTGAACAAATTCCAGAAGGTGCCTGACTCCAAAGAGCTCTTCAAAAAGGGTAGAACCGGTCCCGCTATAACCTTTGATATAGGCCGATTACATACACAAAAGGTAACTACGTATGGAAACGAAATTTTGTACGCCAAACTTGCTCCCAAATTCGTAGGACCGTTATTTCTAAATGGACCTACGAATTGAAAGACGAAGACGGAAAACCTATAGGCACTTACCATGTAAAGGTCCTAAAACCTGATCATCCTATTACTCAATCTAGACCTAGTGGTACACCGGAAGGTTTAGACGTCGTACAAAATCTGGGGATGGAAGTGGTCTCCAGAAGAGAGAGCGAGGGCGGGGAGAGACGCGACGCGGATTAACGCGAATAAACTGATACATTAAGGCTGTAGTTGTTATGCTACCTGAATCATGGTAAAAGAAACTGACTTTGGAAATAATGGAAAATGTGAGGATAACGATTTGTGGTAGGACCCCTATTATATCACATTATATTTTTGTATAAGCCATAATAAGCCATCGCGGAACTATCTGATTAGTTTGATTGCTCACGAGATAATTATTGTCGTGGAATTATTTTATTAAGATCATGTGACATCTTCGGTTCGGTAAAATTTCCGAGCATTAATCTGCCATCCGTTGTGGCTACACATACGATTTACATTACAACAGAGAGAAAAAGGGGGCCCGAACCTACCGCGACAAAAAAATCCTTACGGGTCGGCGATGGCGTTAGCACATTCGCACCCCCAACGAAGAAAAATCCAATATGGCATTGTTACGCTGTGTACGTTTCTGATATCCCTCGCCCCGTGCGGATAAGGGTTTCAAATTCCATTGTTATCTCAGCACAAAAGATCCGAAAAAACGGGGGTTGTTTAGAGATATCGCGTTTATCAATACGAAGATAAAGCTACCATCTTGTTAGTATTATTTGATCAAGTGTAAAAAGTGTTCGCGTCAATAACGCCCCTATTGTGCACAATCGTAAAAAAACTACCCCATCCACCTGCGCCGCCCTTTCCATCAGCTCCGATTAGAAAACAACACTAATTCGATGCGCCGAGAGAAAAGAAAAAGAAAGGGGCGGGCGGGGAATGAGAGTTCGGAAATTTCATTAGTTCAATTTTTAACCTGACCGGAATTTTTGATTTAAGCAGTCGCCGAAAAGTTATTCACTGAATTAAATGTTTTATCCGTTAGGGTTTCTATGGGTCGGCTCGCTAAAGTTATCTATAAAATATAGAGCTTCAGCTCGGAATAGATATCGGCTACTTTATGGAGTTATCTTAACATAAATTCTCGGATATCATTTCAACGAGAGTTAACGCTCCTTTCCTCCAGTAAGATTCTTATCCTCTACCATTCTTTAGTATGCTCGCGACAGGCGAACGTTTCCTTCTTATTAAATTAAAAAGGAAGCGAACGTCGTAGATTGCCAAATTGAGGTTTTGATTTCCCTTTGAAGACGCTTAAACAGGACGGAATTCACTGCGGGAACTAAATTCAATGGGGTGTGTCGTGAAGTGTATTAGTTGTACTTGTAATAGGAATGAGGGAACCTTTTCGATTTCCTTCTACTTGTACCTTCGGAAGGGTCTATTTCCTTTTTGTTTGTCAGGTGTTCTTGAAGAAAGAAGAGGATTGGATTACGGCATTTTCGACCGTATATTCATGTGATATTGTGTCTTTTTTTCGAATCAATTATTAAGCAAATTAGGCAATTGCTCTCCCGTGCAAAGTTTTGTGAATCGCGGAAAAAATGTAAATCGTTCGTGGGTCTGAATTGGAGTAGGGCCATATTTTAAACATGTGCAGATGAAAAGTCGGAATCAGAGTACGTAACGCGGTTCTTGTGATACTAAAATTCCGAGAAAAACAATCAGTTTGAATGCAGAGAAGTCACATACTCAACTGTCTTCCGTTACACTCACAAGTAAAGGACAGGACTAATTTTAAATTGTCTTATGGAGGTTGCGTCTCTACCTAATTCCTTCACTCAACGCTTCAAGAGACAGGCCCTGAAGATCCTTATGGGCGCCTTAAGGGGTTTTAAAAATCGGAAACAGTCATCAAGACCACACACGACCTCCAAATACCTATCATAAACATTCATTCAATTTATTTTATGAAAATACCTGCCATTTTACCTTGTGGTATTTTAGCATAAACAATTAAGGTCATTCCTCTTCTCTTTTTATCAGCCGAGCCTTTAAAAACTTTGGTCTTGGTCAGTGAATCGTCAAGAGTCTTTAAGAGCCTTCGTAACGTTTCTCCAGAGGTTTTCCACCTTTAAATTTGTTTAAAAGAAGGGAGGTAGGAACGTCGGGGCCTTCGACCACCGCGGGGTCATTAACCCCCCTGCCCCACCCCACGCGTTGGGGCTACCCATAAGAGCAAGGGAAGCTGACAATAGGGCACTTGACGCAATTGCTGGAAGAGTAGTCATGACCCCTCCCCCCGAAATTACCCCAAAAGATAATACCAACGGGGCAAAAAATTTGCTATTGTTTGCGTTTTGTCCGCCCGTCCGGACCACCTTCTGCCATTTTGAAATACTTTTAGGGGAAAAGTCCTAAAGTTCAGCAATTGTTTGCAATAGGTAGCCTATACCCACCTTGAAGATGTGCCAGGCGGCCATCATATTTCGCTGTCTTAGGAGGGGGGGGGCCCACGAATTATTTCCTGAGATGCTGTTTTTGAAAGTAAAACGTTCATAACCTCTACATTGGACAACCAATTGGTCTTAGATTTTGCTTACGCGTGCCTTTAGTGGTTCCAAGTAAAACTGGGGGCGCAAAAAGGGAGGGGGGGGGGGGTTAAACTCACGTTCTACCCTTCGTGGTATTCTAATGAAAGGTCTCATCGCATCGTTTTCTACCTACTATCGTCCGACCTTCTTTCTCACCCTTTATCAAAAGAGGGAGTTGGGGCGGGAGGAAGACTAGTTTTATCGTTTATGGTACTCTAATGAAAGGTTTCAACAAGAGGAATTAATTTATACCAACCATAATCCTCCTCCTCCACCCCTTATTGTAATCGGATATAGTCCCTTATATCTCCAGAACGAATTGTCGGAAACGGGAGCTCACACAGGGCGATTGGGACGTCTAGAAGGAATATATCCATTCGTATCTTCTTATCTTCGTATCTTTTGTTAGAACGATATTTCAGAGCAGTAATACGAAAAATTCAAGGTATCATTTCTAGGAAAGAGTTCGGGGGTGAGCTTAACCTGCAAATATGTTCTCTCTTTGTATCTTTGTATCTTTGTATGTTTATATCTTTCTATCTTTCTATGTTTCTACCTCTCTACCTCTCTACCGCTCTACCTCTCTACCTCTCTACCTTTCTACCTCTTCTATCTTTCTACATTTCTATCTTTCTATCTTTCTATCTTTCTATCTTTCTATCTTTCTATCTTTCTATCTTTCTATCTTTCTATCTTTCTATCTTTCTATCTTTCTATCTTTCTACCTTTCTACCTTTCTACCTTTCTACCTTTCTACCTTTCTACCTTTCTACCTTTCTACCTTTCTACCTTTCTACCTTTCTACCTTTCTATCTTTCTATCTTTCTATCTTTCTATCTTTCATCTTTTTCTATCTTTTCTATCTTTCTATCTTTCTATCTTTACTATCTTTCTATCTTTCTATCGTTTTTCTATCTTTCTAT